CGAATGAAAAAATAATAAAAAAAAAAAATAGAATAAAAATAAAAGATAAGCACGGATGAGGGAGAAATGTAATAAAAAAGCGAGGGGAAGAGAGAAACAAGCGAGGGGAGGAAAAGGGATAGAAAAGGCTGCGAGAGAATGAGAGAGAGAGAGTGAGAGAGATTCGTCGAACTTTTCTTTGTGCGTCTATAAGCGTGCAAGCGCGCGTACGTGCGTGTACATCTTGGTTTTTGGGCCGACGACCTCGCTCGTGAAAGGGAGCCAGCAACGGCAGAAGCAGCGCGCGGTGCGTCCGAGGTCAGTGCTCTCCTGGTCCTCGGCTATCCGTGTCTGCAAGGATTCTCCCTTCGCCTTCGAGGTCGACTGGAATGTCGACGTACGTACGCGCGTGTGTACACGCGAATGCGTGAGAAATAAGGTGGAGGAGGAGATGGAGGAGGATGATGATGATGATGATGAAGATGATGGTGATGATGATAATGGTGGTGATAATGAGCAAAAAAAAGAGAACGAACAAGGATGAAAATAACGATGGTGATGATGAATATGATGATGATGAATATGATGATGATGATGAATATGATGATGATGATGATGATGAATATGATGATGATGATGAATATGATGATGAATATGATGATGATGATGATGATGATGATGGAGGAGGTGGCTTTCGTTCCTTGGGAAGCTTTATCCTGCTTAGCATTGACCTTGAAATTGTGTCGCCCTATTGTTACCTCCGCTGACTCTGACTGCACAACCTCCGTTGCCGGGATTTACATAGCGAAGCGACGGACCGCCAACCACCCGTGTCCAGTGTGCGGAAAACACTACGTCAACGAGGGTAGTCTTAGGAAACACCTGGCCTGTCATCCTGAGACCAGTCAACTAAGCACAAGCCTCAGGATGTGGCCGTGCTCGGTGTGCCAAGCCGTCTTCACTCATGAGGGCGGTAAGTATAAAAAAAATCTTCTCTATCGAACCATCGTGTACAAAGTGTCATCATACATAGTATCTATATACATATATATACATATATATATATATATTTATATACATATATATATATATATATATACAATTACTTTTTCTTTCTTATTGACTTTTTTTTCTGCGATACTATTACTACTACTACTACTACTACTACTACTACTACTTTTGTTTCAACGGTATCATCGTATCGTATTATAGTCAAGTATTACAGTACTACACTGATCTAAGCTTGTGAAAACTAACGAGAAACTCTATCGAGACTGCTCTTACTTTGCTGTTAAGGTTTGTTGAGTCACATGGAGCACATGAGAATGGACCCGAAGCATCAGTTCGCGGCGCAGTACGTTTTAAGTCGCGCCGCCGCCGAGAGGCGGGAGAGAGAAATCCTTGCGTCTTCGAGTCTAGGTATGACGAATAATCGTATATAAAATCTATTCTGCGTTCTACCACGTATTTTCTCGCCGGCACACCTTTGTACTCTACTTAACGTTAGCCAGTAATTGTAACAAGGATCGTAACGACATGTACGATTGATCGTGTACAGGTGCGGGTTTGGGAGTGTTGGGAAGCCCATCAGGCGGACCTCAAAATTTGCAACAACCACCAATGTGCCCTTCGCCGTCGGCTCATTCGGACAGCAGCAGCGGAAATGGAAAATTATCGTCGGCCGGTAGTGAACCTGGTACGCTCCGAATATTGTTCCTCGTCTTCTTGCAAATGGTCGTCTGGAATGATCGTTAGAGTATCATGATTAATCATAGAGTATAAAAAGCAATCTTGAAACACCGAAGGGAGGACGTCTCTTTCTTTCGTGACGAACACACACGTTCACTTCAAATGTATCGTAATAATTATCTACACTTTAAGAGAAATAATACCATCGTGCTTCGATACACGCCGAGAGTTATTGTAGTAAACGTTACCTATTACTATTACTATTATTATTATTACTATTATTACTATTATTACACATATTGGTGTCTGAGTAAAATAAATCATCCACGAATTCTTGTGTGAGTAATTTCGCCATACGAACGCTCAGCTCACTCCGACTTTTTTTTTATCAATCGTCGTCTACCATGTGTATCTTCTGTCGAATAATAATCACGATTAGATGATAGTTTTATACAGAGCGTGTTCACACCACCTTTTCTTCATTTAAACCCCCCCTCGCCCCCCCGATGCAAAGCATACCTAACGGGAGC